TTAGTTTTGAGCAGTATCTCATGGTTTTCCCCTTGTGTTTGGCTGCCGCTTTGATCACATCTTCCAGGTAATGTCTCTGTAGTGCTGTAACTTACAGCAGTCTCAGAACGGTCTGGTCACTGTTGAGTACATTAGTTGGAAGATGCTCTATATGCATTGTTCTTTTTATGGCAGCCTTAAGCTGTGGGTAAAATCAGTTTGATCTTACTTGATTGTGTCTGTATGGAAGTAAATGAAGGAATGCTCAGACATGTTTTGTTCTGTCAGCTGAGCATGACCTGCCTTCTTCCCTTCCATCCCTGCAATCCAAGGTGGGAATGACAAGGAGTAGTTGCAGGTTCAACTGTTTCAGCCATATCCCAAAAATTTGTTATCAGTCCCTTTAACTGTTATTGGACTCTCTGAAAGCATTCTAATTTAGTGTGGTCCTGGCTTTTTTGTTTGTTTTTAAAGAGACTCTACAGTCTAGGGCTTGTATGTCAGTAGTTTAAGGAGTCTTTGAGCACTTTGTTTCATTTACCTGGCGTAATGGCCCAAACAAAAGGGGTCTGGCTCTGTTAAAGTAATCCTCACTTTTTTTTTGCTGCAGAATTCCAGAGGAGCTTCTTCTCTTTTGAAGGATAGTATCCCAATTCCTGAATTTTCAGCTTCAGGACCATTTGAAGGTCATGATCTTCTACGCAGAGGGTATGCTTTACTTTTTCTTGTTGAATTGTGCCATGGCCAGTTTGGAACTTCAGATATAGGAAGAAAGTACATGTTAAATGTTGTATTTTTAAAGAAGATTCTTGGAAGGTGTGTCAGATTGCCTTTCAAGTGTGAATTTTATGTGAAACATAAGAAGTAGATAACATTAATATACTTTTACCTGTGTGATACTGCTCTTTTCTAAAGAGATGGCAAAGTATTTGTAATTATGAAATATATGCTAGTTTTAATCCACATGTATATGAGTGTGCCATAGTATTGTGGGAAATGGTTAATTTCAGCATTGGTACAAAAAGTAAAGTTTATGTAGTAAAAAGTGTTTTCAGGTTTTGCCATTTTACATGAGTGCAAAACTATGTACATGTCTTGGATAATGAACCTAAAATAAGTTAATGGAGTTTGAAATGCGGGTAATACAACAACGAGGGCAAGGAAGGTATGTACAGTATTCAGTTGCAAAACTTGGAGACTTTTAAAATCAGATACTATGTAGCTTGGACATAATTAAATCTATGATGTTTTCATTTATTAATATTTTTCTCTGTTTCTGAAGGGGGTCAAGGAAGAAAAACTCTCGTTCTGTTTTGTCAGATATAAAGAAAAAAAGGATGCCTGAAATTTAAATTATATTTCTTCTGGTAGTGCTGTAGTGAGAGGGCTTATTTGCTGCTTCACTATTAAGCTTTTCTTTTTTTTTGTAGTTCAGACTGTGTTAATGGTGTTGATGGTTGTATCTCAGATTAGTTTTGGAATTGAACTTGAAATATGATATCCCAATTAATTTGAAGTTCTTTTTTTTTACTTGTATTTCTAGTTTTACAAGTGTGAAAAATGAATTGTTGCCCAGCCACCCACTGGAGTTGTCAGAAAAAAATGTAAGTATAACGTCAAATATAGCCATCTTCACTCTTAACTAATTGTGAAGGTTAAATTAACAATGTAGTTACCTGGACTGCTTTGTGCAGTAACAAGTAGTGAGCAGGGTCTTGCCTTTAACAGAATAAAGGTATTCAACCATCCTAATATTTTAGTTATATAAATAACATTGTTGGCAAATTTTTTTAATGTTAACCTCCCACTTGTGACCCTCTCTGCTTCAAGTGTGTAAGTGGGCATCCAATTAGGGATTTACTTACTAAGGTTTAGTCATCTAAAAGTTATTAAGCCAGTTTTGTATGCAGCCTCTATAGTTCGGTGGAGGGCACACCTGTCACCTCTGGAAGGCTGATCCTCCCATTTTTGCCTACAGGTTTACCATATATCTTCATTTTCAGACTTCCAATCTGTGAACACATAAATACTTTTCATTGAGTTACTGGATCCCCATCTAGAAACTTTACACATAGAGTTTGTCATAAGTGTATGCAGTCTTGTCCAGTTTAGTCATCACTCATGGGCCACTTAAGAGTGGTCTCTGGACCATAGGTTGAAGGTAAAGGGAGACTAGACTGACAGCCTTAGCTTGATAGCTGGTTTGACTGAATCTTGTCTCTGGTGCCTGTTTTGTCAGCACAGATTTGATGTAACAAAGTGTCCTGAAGCAAAGGCACTATTTCCAAACTGCTAAGCTAATCAGTATTACAAAATCTGAATTTAGTGTCTAGTGTATTCTTATTCTAACCAATGCTAATGTTGTCTTGAGTTGAAAGATAATGTTAATGTGACATCAACTTCACAAGCTTACTTAGAAATACCATAAATGTTTCAGAGCTATTTGTCAATTGATTTTTTTTTTTTTTACAACTGACTGCTACAACTTAGTTTTTAACTGCTAGAGAGAAAAAAATGCACATAAATAAAACAGACAATGTGATCCCCTAAAAAGTATGTGAAACTTTTAAATTGGTTTTTTCCACACATAATTTCATTAGTTTTTCTGTAAGTTTATAGCCGATTTATCTAAGAATTATTTTCATGTGCATTTGAATGGCAAAAGATTTATCTTAGCCTGAGGTAGTTATGGTTGCTTTTACTGCTTTCATAAATGGTAGGTTATTCAGGCAGCACAAGTAGAAACCAAATCTTTCTGCTACCCAGGTAAGGACCCCTACCTTTATAAAATAAAAGAAAAATAATGTGACTAGAACTTTAAGTTTGGGATGTGGCATATGAATAGTATTTTCTGCTAACTTTTGAAGAGCATTCAATGTAGGTTGTTATGAAGAAAATGCATGTTATGCCTTTGACTTCTGTTTTTCTGTTAGTTTTTGAGATCCCTCCACGTAAATGGGCTTATATTCTTCTACTAGTAGGCTTTTGTCATGATGATTGAGTATGGGTTTTAAAATAAGAGATTTGCATTTTTTGTTTTACTTTAAAATGTTATATTGTATCAACATTACAGGCATGTAGTCACTACTATAAAAGCTGGATTCGAGACTGGATTACTTAAGCTTAAGTTTGACATTAAGTATAGTTACTCATGTGTACTTTGGTATTCGTGAGCCAGCACTTTTTCATTAAAATAACGCACTACTAAATGGATTCTCTTTGTCTTACTGCTCAGTTTTAGAGCAGATGGTAAAATTATGAGCTTTCTTTTGCTTTTCGGAGTCATACGGAGTGTATGTGGTGCTCTATCTTCCTACTTGATCGGAAAAGAAGTATTTCAAGTGTTTTAAAGTAGAGACTCCGATGACTAACAATAACATTAATTGTGGCTTTCAAGTTTGTGTTCTTACTTTAAACCAGATTTCGCTTCCAGTTCATGCTGGCAATATTCTAGTAATGCTCAGTAGTGTAAAACTCCACCACATGGTGGTGTTACACGTCCTGATTGTCAAAAAATAACAAAATTGCTGCAATTGATTTGTAATAAAATCTAGCAAAAAGCAATTTCAGTTTCAAAAAACAATATTACTGTATCACTGTCTGTCTTGTGCATTTGAGACACATATGATGGAATCACTGAATTTTTACATATGCATTAAATAAGCATGTTCATTTAAGTAGGATGTCACAAATCTCTTCTATGGCTGTACTTGAATAACTTTTTCTAAAATAAAAATCAATATTGTTTGGGATAGTTCCAGTTAAATCAAGATAAAACAAACTTTGCCACACTGAGAAATATTCAAGGACTCCACGCGCCTTTAAAGCTACAGATGGAATTCAGAGCAGTGAAACAGGTAGGTATTCTTATCCAACTGGTATAACTTAAACCACTTGAAAAAATTTTTATCTTGGAACATGCTTTCAGAGACACATCTTTCTTTGTTGAAATACCTTGTGTTTCCAAAATAAATTATTTCACTGGACTGCTTTTATTAAAACCAACCAACCAAACATTGCAATTAGTAGTTTCCAGAACAGTCAGTATGCTAAAGCCTTTCATCTGGTGAAGTGGTACCTGTTCTAGCTTTTCTGTGGACTAGCTTCCTGTAAGCCCTCAGAGAAAAGCAGGAGGAATTGAGTATTAATTCCTAAAACTAATACTCTCCTCCGTAGAGCATAAAACCTTCATAGGAAGGGGTCTCTGCATCTGTAGGGCGAAGAGACTTAGGGATTTGAAGCAGGTAGTGATTTGGGGAGTGGATGTAGAGGTGATGTGAAACCTGAAGCAGAGACCTTGCTGTGTGCTTATTATTGTTCCACAGCCTTTCTTGTAAGGTCAGGTGAGGTCTCCAGAGAGTTATGTTCAAAGGTTTTAACTCTTAATTGGGAAGCTGAGTCTGTCTCCTTTTCCCTCTTATCTCCTAGGATGGAGAATAACTGGAGGGAGGCTGACTTTTGTCCGTTAGGAAACACAGGAAGCTTATCGGTCCTAGTAAACCTTTTTGGCTTGTTGAAGGTTGTCAAGCTATTAAGAGTTGTTTTTACAAGTGAGTTGGAGCAATTTTCTGCTCCCTTCCAGTAGATCAGGTGCTACTGAACCACAGTGAGTTGCATTAAACTTGGCAGAAATTACTCGTCCTGAAGATGTGAAAGTCAGACAGAATGTATGAAACCATCCCTTGATGTCAGCTGTGCTGTCTTAGGAGGAAGAGTCTTTTCTTAGCTGATTTTAGCACATGTCAGAAAGTTAGACAGGTGAGGATATCCTGCTAGGGTGTGTCTACAGGTATTCTTGGGTGGGGGGAAATATGGTATTCAAAAGGTTTTTCACTGCTAGATTTGTGTTTTGTATACAAGTTCTCTTGTGGTTTAATTTCACTTCTCTAAAATATTTACTGGAACAGTGTTTTGTCTTCTGCCAATTGTACCAGTAGTGATTATGGAAATCTTTGACACATTTTGTATTGTAAAGATATAGCTACATGATAATTTTATGGTTGTGAAATATGTTCATGGTATAACTGGTGTCATTACTAGTAGTGAGTGCAGTTGTAAGTACAAATATGCCATTCTCAGAATATTTAGGATCTGAATGCTGTGTGTACCTCTTGAAATTTTTTTGTAATGATGTCGGTGAAGGGTGCAAAAGAGAGTTGAAAGTAGCTGGGAGTGGACTTGAACCTTAAGAATTGGTGGGAATCAGAGAAATAACTATTATTTAGATGAATTGCAAGGAGGATAATATTTAGATGTGAAAATCAAAATAGCTCCTTAACTTACATTCCTGACTTGTGTCAGAGATGTAGGAAGCTTAGAATGTGGTTTCCAAACACTGCGGTATATGTCAAATCACCCGATGCTGACATCAGGGTGTGTCATTTGTTGCAGTGAGACTTCCCAGCTTTATGTGGTAATAGAGGAGAAAAAAACAACCCTGCCTCTTATTTAAACTACATTATTTGCTACAGTAGCTACACCACAGTGAAAGCTACAAATCTAGTGAAAGACTATTCTTTCCGAAACAGAGAGATAAACGTTTAATAGAAGGCGGTGGTGGTAGTAAAGTTTTGCTATCTATGTGTGCCAGTAGTTCTCTTATTTCATCACTGTTTTTGAAGGAAGAAGTGACTTTGCCTGTCACTTTTCTCAGTCCCTTCAGACTGAGAAATCCAAATATAAACTCCTTCAATTTCAGACTTACAGAAACTTGAACTCTTGTTGTTTCTTTACAGGTCCAGCGTCTCCCATTTCTTCACAGCTCAAACGTAGCACTGGATACTCTGAGGGGAAATGATGAAAGCATCGGTTTTGAGGATATACTTAATGGTAAATACATTCTGTTTTGAATGTTATGGAAATATTTAAAGGTAAAATTTGGGAACTGTGAAGTTCTTTTCCTCACACAAAGTAGAAAAAGTTTAACTCCTAAAGGCAAAGAAGCATTTGGGCAAGGAAAAATAAATGTGGTTCAGCTGCTAATTGTGTGGAAATTACTGTGAAATATTGAGTAAGCCATTATTTGTTCGTAGGCTGGGTTTCTAAAGGAGTAGGAGATTGTGCAGTTATGTTGTATGCCTGTTAACCCAGAAACTTTTGAACTACTTGTGCAGATTTTGACAGGTGGAGGTTACAAAGATCTAAAGATTTTATAAGTTGTATGATTAAAAAGAAAGAAAGGCTAGAGGAGAGATACTGAACTGATGAACCAGAGATGTGGCAGGGGGAAGGTTCCCTCAAATTAACTCAATAGTTTGTGGTTGTGTGGTGGGCTTCTAACTGACAGTTAGTATGTGGGGACTAGAATAAACCTGGAAAAATAGTTTTTAAAAAATTACATATTTCTATCTGGTAGTTAAGGACGTGGAAGGAGGCAGAGGGTATTTTGAGGTGGGATTGGAGAATGGAAAAAGCCAGGCAGATAGGGAACTGGAAATAATGGAGGAGTAAGTGGGGAATCTAGAGGCATGAGGTAAATATGGGGTTATTTTTGGGGGTGGATTTACAGGGAGCAAGGGAAGGAACCGTAGGTTATTGTGGTTTGGGGGTAGAGCAAGGTCAAACATAATTTATATGAATTTGGTTATTAACCATTGCTCACAACAAGCTGTTAGATCTTTCTAGAGTCATAAGGAGTTGAGTGGGTTAGAAGTGGTTTTGGTAAGGTTCTATTTCAGCTGGGGCTGGATTAGATAATTTTGGTGTCTCTGGAGGAATCAAAGGCATTAATGTGGTTTATTTACAGAAGTAAAACACTCCAATACACCCATGAAGAAAGGTGTATCTCTTCCAAAGTGCAGTCACAACCTTTTATCGGGCCTTGATTTTTTTTTTTTACAATTTTTATTTTTTGCATGGAAATGAAGTTCATACTGGCAGTATTGGTGTTTCTTGTGTCCTCTGCACATTCCTTGATAACTTTTGAGTACAGTTGCTAATGTCAACCATACTTTACAGAATGGAGGAAATCTCAGAGATATTTAACGGCATAGGATTTCTGTGAAACTAGGAGGTTGGGTGGAGACGCGAAACCATGGGTATGTCCCAACTTAACAGAAGGGCTGGAGTGTAATCTGTTGTGCAGAGAAGTTGCATTGGAAAGAGATGTGGAGCATCTACGAGGAAAAGCCTCAGTCAGACTTGAGTTTTCTTAAATACAAAATTCAGCCTTGAGATTTGGGCTATAGGAAGCTGTGCTTATGTAGAACTGGTTGGTTTTACTTGAAGTGGGTGGGTGGGTGCATGGGTGTGTGTCTTTATGAAGAAAATATGGTCATCTTCATAGTTGTTGTTGATCTTTGTAGCTTGGTAAAAGCCTTATGCTGTCAACTTTTTTTTTCCAGATCCTTCACAGAGTGAGGTTATGGGAGAACCACACATGATGATGGAATACAAGCTTGGTTTATTGTAACAAAATGTACTCCACAAAAATGTTTTGTGTGTGTCTTTATACTGCAGATCTAAATACCCGATACAAAATTGACGCTAAGTGTTACGCAGTCCTATTATTTGCCTTTCTTGATGAAAAGGCACATTAAATGTTTAAAGTATAAATTGTTCTCTGCTTGTTGTCAATTACATAAATGTCCTGTAACTAGATGGTTTACATAATGTCTCTTTGTACACTGCTCAGGACAATAGCTTAGCTATTGAAATGCTACATATGTATACAAGAAATCCAACAATACCCGTGCATTTTAAAACTGGTTACTGTAGGTAAATGCATTTAATGGATGTTCTTGCAGAAGAACTTTTTAAGGGGCAAAGAAGGTATTTTCCATTGAGTTAACTCTTTGTTCATGAAAATTTCCATACACTTTTTAAACTATTGAATAAACGTTTGCTATAAATGCTGTTGCGTTCCAAAATATATTTAGTCGTAAATCAAGAATCTCTTATCCACAACACAAATTGTGGTGTTGCTTTTTCTTGCAGTATCTTTTAAAGATCTTTAATTTCTGCACTGCCAATGGAATCCTGCTACATACATCTTCTCCCTCCTGTTGACTGTTGTTCATGAGTGAGCCCTTAAGCTTTTGTGTAGAATTTGAAGTATTGCTCTGAGAAAAGAGTTAAAGGTCTGGATTTTTTAATCTGTGTCCCTGAGAGGATATTGTGGTTTCTGAAAGTAGAAGGAAGTTCCACTTGGAGTTTAAAGAAGTGTTCTAAAATCCCATTTGGGAACGTAATCCAAAAGACCACTGCTAAATGTAGGTAGTTCGGGGATTAAGAAGTAACACTGCTTCATTGTGACAGTACCCAATAAACCTGCTGCAGTGAGAACATGAAGATACAGTGGTACTGGATGACACATACAGAAATATTTTTGTGGGTTTACCAAAATCAGGTTGTAATTAAGGGAGAATGAGACACCTCTACTTAAATATACCTTTTAAAGGAGCAGGCCTCTGAAAGGTGTTTTGTGTAGTGAAGTGGGGGGTGTTATTAAATTCAGAGTTGCAACTGCTATTTTGTCATGTCATACAGGTGTGCATTTCATATATAAATCGTGCAAGTCATCTCTTCTCTGTGGGGAGCTTGACACTTATCTAACACAGGAACTGCATTTATTAGGCAGCTTTTAATGACTTGGTTAAACTGCTAAGTGCACTTAGTGATCTGTTGTAGAGAATTTTAGCAGAAATGTTGCTATACATCTCTTTTTTGCAATCCCAAGCATCTCCCGAACAGTGGAACACGCTTCCTAGAGAAGTGGTCAATGTCCCAAGCCTGTCTGTGTTTAAGACATGTGAACAATGCCCTTAACATGCTTTAACTTTTGGTCAGCCCTGAAGTCCTCAGGCAGTTGTACTAGATGATCATTGTAGGTCCCTTCCAACTGAAATATTATTTTCTATTCTGCTTTTCAGTGTGCTTATAAGCTGCTACAGATTCTCTATCCACATGGGCAAAAGCCTCTAGCTTTGTCCTGTAACTTTTACAGCACTTCTATGTGCATCTATTGCAAAACAGCAGTAAATTAAAAACATTGAGATGACAGTATGAGACACTTCACTGGTGGATTTATTTGGTTTTATATTTAAACTTGTTTCACTTGTCTTTCATTTGAGTTGCAGAGATTACAGGCTTGTGCTATGAAATACAAGCTAAGGCCTCATTGGTATTTTTTGCCTTAGCAATGTTAAATATAGGACTGACAGATTGAATGTGCCAGCGCAGACCTACTCAAAATTTGCTTCTGTGTAGTTGTCCTGTTCTTTCTGTGAGCAAGATACGGGAGTTGCCTTCTAGGGGTGCTTTCAGGTTGGCTTTCGTACCAGCCGTGTTCCAGAAAACGGAGCCATCCCATAGTTGTACACAGTTATGGCACTTCGTAGCTCCCTGCTTCAGAGTATCTCTATGTAGTCAGCCTTTTCTGAGGTTGACTGAAAGATGGATGCTATTGTGTCTGAGAAAAAACTACATTAAGGCAAATGTTGGTAGAGTTTCTCATTAGTGCAGCAAAAAGTGAACACCGATTAGGAGGCTGGATGTAATTTCTAGGCGGTTTTGTCCAAGGATTAGTACACTTCATTGTAACCTTGGGTGAGATCAAGCCATATTCAGAGCAAGGAAGCTAATTTTAGCGGTTAGCGAGGCTGGAAAGCAAATGGTACATTTAAGAGGCATGTGCAAGAATTTATGCTTTTAATAGAGTAATGGGAGTCAAACGGGACTGAGGCAAAGAGCTTTTGAGATAAAAAGGAAGGGTTGCACTTGCTCTGTGTTGCAGTGGTTTGAGCTTTTGGCCCCTTCTCTAGTTCATACAAACCTCATTCTGTAAGGCAGGCACTGCAAGCAGCAACCCACAGAGGCACATCACACAAGGTGTGCTGACAAGTGGAGCTGGGACAGACCCTGCCTTGGTCTCACATTGGACCCAACCCGGCCAAGGAGGGGAAGGCACTTGCTGGTCCCCCCGTCTGAGAGGTGCAACACAAGCCCTGGTGCTGACTTCTTGCAGACAGCAGTCCTGTCCTGGCCTCCTCTTGGTGCTGATGTTCTGGGCAGCATCCTTCCCTCTCCCCAAGCACAGGAGAGAGGCAAAAGCAGATCTTCCTGCACTGCTCTTTGTTATAACCACAAAAAACAGATGACACAACAGTGCTGCTGCTTCTGTTTGCACATTCTTCCACCAGTAATCCCATTGACTACTTGTCAAAAAACAATGGAAGAACTACAAATGCAACAGAGTTTAAAAAACCAAACTTTTTATTACTTTGTCAAAATAAAAAATAATTTGCATTTATATACAAACAGAGCAACTACTATAAACTTAGAATATTTTTATTTAATATGAAGCACATTAGTACCTGGTTTCCTCAACTTGCACTGTGCTAGGCACTTTAAAAAACACACTTCATATCCTTCATCTGTTTTGACCTGAACTTACATCCAGTTCTAAATGCTGTGTGTACCAGAAAAACTTTGCAAACAGCAACTACTTTGTATAGCATAACCAAACCAATTCAAAGCCATTCCTGAAGTGTATGTGCACGTTCTCACTTGGGCCAAGAGAATGCCACTGCAGAACTGGCTTGCTTTGTTGCTGCCTTCTGAGCGCTACCAGAAGTGTGCACTGAAGAACAGCCAGTGAAGGCACATATCCCTTCTTCATTTGCTTTACTTTTTCCAGGCAGTTTTGTGTTAATTTCATAAAGTCTTACATAACTGCATAATGAAGAGGCAAGGGAGACAATGTAACCTTTGTGCTGAAATCCTTTACATCAGTGTTTCCTTAATCTCTTTACAAGTACTCATTGTTTTGGATACACCGATTATTCCAACTCGGCTTGCTTCTCCAAGAAGTTGGCAGCAACTTGGCCACCTCAAGGCTGGAGAGTTAAGCAGTTCTCTTTACTGGCTAGTGTCTAAACTAGCTAGGAAAAGCTAATGGCCCTGGATAAATGGCATGGTTTTCACCAGTGACATGTACGTAGTGGTCTCCTGGATAGTGCAAACTCTTGAACCCTCTTCCAAACTTCACCATGATCACAATACATAGCTTGGAAACAATGCTGTCGTTCAAACAAAAAGGATCTACAACAGTATCATCATGATGTGGGACTATTTTTGTTGGAGTACCACTGAAAAGTTCTGCAGAAGTACTCTGTTCACATGATGGATATTAATGGCTGTAAGCAGATTATTGATTATACAGCATATGCCACGTCCATCCTACGCTGTGTGCATGTGAAATCAGTTCCCACAACATAGCTTCTTTCCTAGAGTTTTCCTTCTGTGAATGTCAAGCATTTTACATTACTTTGATTTCTCTACCTAATCTGTTTTGGGGGAAGACAGTTGCATACCACCTACCTGTACTTTAAGGGATCAGAACAGTATTGTCTGCCCAATTCTTTCTGAAAAAACACGTGGGAGTAGTCCTTAAAATGGTGCAATATTGACATTTCCGCAGTGCTGTGCATTCCAGAAGCTAATATTGTGGATAATTTCTTCTTAAAGATCTCAAGGAAGGTAAAGAATCAATGCAGAAACTGATTTCTAGGTTTGGCAGTCTCGCCAACTTGCACTGTGGCCCTGGGCACGTCACTTGTCCTCTCAGTGGATTATCTCTCTGCAACAGGGAGGATAATATCTATTATGGAAGGAGGGTCTTAATAGCATTTATAGAGTGCTTTGAAGATGAGAAATGCTGTTCAAGTGCTCATAAATTATGCTGCATTCATTGCAAGATGATTAGATGCACAATTCAGATTTGGTCACCTAATTTCAGGGTTGTTAAAAAAATAATCAAAGATCCACTGAAAAGAAATGCTATTACGGCCTTTCACTAGAAGAAACTTTTAAACTAAGTACAGCCAGCTTAACTAGAAACCAAGAAATATCTGAGAGACAAAAAATAGGATTGTCTGTATGCAGTCCTTAATATGTAGAAAATGATAAAAATAAATGTGCAATATGGCCTCTGCAAAATGCAGGCATAGGCCTAACTTCACACTCCGCAAGCTGGAACTTGTCTGACAATTCTGTGTGAAAATCCATTTTAAGAACCAAGTCACACAAGGCAAGGTCCACACATCGTACATTAAACTTGCACAAACACACTAACTGCAGAGCAGTAAGTCTATTTACAGCAGGTGCAAGTACTGCCCCCAGTTTGGTTGCTTTCTGAAAAAAGTACCCTTTAGTTTAGTAATTTTAGACAGGGTTGGGGGCTTCTCTATTACGGCCGGCCTTTTATGATGTACCCAGTGGACCACATCCTCAGCTGGCATAGGCTCCACTGGCTTCAGAATTGCCAGCACCGTCTTAGCTTATCTCTGTCACTCCACTTAGAATGATAAAAGATGTATCGCAATCCACAGCTGACAAACTTGAGAAAAGATAATAGGAAAGAGAGTATCATCCTATGTTATTTTTTTCTTTATGCTGAAAGCAGCATTAAAATCTTAATTGCCAGACAATTTGCATAGTTAAGTATAAGAGCTAGCTTTATTCAAATGCTAAAAAGAGACTGGATGTATTGGGTCTAGCTGAGATGGAGTTAATTTTCCCCACAGCAGGCCTCACAGAGCTGTGCTTTGTATTGGTAGCTGGACAGGCGTTGATGACCCACCAGTATTTTGGCTCCTGTGAGCAGTGCTGGCACAGCATCAAGGCTGTCTCCCCAACATTCCCTCCGTGACAGTAGGCTGGAGGTGGGCAAGATCTTGGGAGAGGACATAGCCAGGCCAGCTGACACCAACTCACCAAAGGGATATTCCATACCATATGACGTCTACTCAGCAATAAAAGGTAAGAGAAAGGAGGAGGGGGACGGCATTCATTATGATGTTTGTCTTTGTGAGCAACCCCCACACATACTGAAGCCCTATTTCCAGTAAGT